AAGCGCCATGAGCTTGATTAGAAGGTCCTTATGCATCCACCCAACGACCAATTTTTTCAAACTGAAAAAAAGTAGAGACAAAAGAAAAATCTGGCAGGAAAGGTGGGCGGGTGACTAGTTTATATGTAGTTCCTTCAATTTAGCGCTTATATCATAAGCTGAACTAGATCTTGCGTAGCCTTGGTAAAATATCAATTCATCCTTCGACAAATTAGTGCGCTTGGCTGGTATTTAAATGTCCAATCGATCCGATAATAGTAATACTCTTTCTTCAAGGTGGCCAGAGAAAGTTAAACCATGTCATATCTACAAAATTGAAAGTCTTACCGCCCGAAAGTTAAGTTTTCAGGCGTTTTAATCACCTTTCGGGCAACAATCATTTAGCAGGCTATCAAATGGATTGTGGTGTATAATGAGGTATCATTGTGGTGTTCTTGAAGCTTGTGCACAATTTTACCTGCTACGATTACGACAAAAGTTAGCAAACCACCGACCATGGCATATGCGCTACAACTTTGCCGTAACTCTTATCAAGCCATTGTTTTAAATTAACGGTGATTTTTCCGTCCTTTTAGATCTATAATTTGAGAACGATCGCATGAAATACCACACAAATTTTACAGTATTTTACTTTATGTTAGTACACTATAAGCTAACTTAGATATTTTTTTGTTGGTGGCACGACCTTTCGGACAGTACAAATACTTTTCGGTCCATTTAGTATATTTTAAGACTTGTGTTGATTTTCTAAGCTGTATACCCAAATATTTTCTAAGCGAGCGTCAAACAAACAGTCGCTTAAATGAAAAAAAATACATATAAAGTTGCATAAACTTTTTTTTATCGTGTTCAGCGTCAAAATGGTGAATATTCAAATAACCGCAGCCAATATATGTAATATAAAAAAAAAAATGAAGCGTATGTTTAGGCGCTGAGCGGTTGCTCATCAGCAGTGTATAAATTCTCGATTTGTTAGTGAGTTGAACGTTCGTTAGCCACTCGCTTTATGAAAAAAAAACACTTTTTTATTAAATTTTTTACTTAATCAAACTTGCTGGGTCGCCTGCTGGGACTTCGGTCAACTGCAGCAACCAGCATCAACAACACCGCATAAAAACAGTTTAATTTGGTTCTTCCTTACAGCATTTTGCTTTCAGTGTGCAGCAATGCTGGTGGTAGTATATGTCGTTGGTGTTTTTTTTGTTTGAGGTAAGCGCACTATTTACGAGCACATTGTTGCAAGGTCGTTTGGTTGTTGTTTTTGTTTTGTTGTTTGTTTTTATATGAACGCACGCTTTAACAACGCCTGCATATGTTTACTTTACGCGCAGTTTGCGCGCATGCATGCGTTTGTGTATGTATGTATATATGTATGTGTGTGTTTGTATGCAAACACCTTGCTTCGCTGCGCTTTACTTGCTCCTGCTGCACAAATAAACGCAATTTAAGCATGCATGTGTGTGTATATGTGTTTGTTATTGGCAGTTTATGCTTGTTTTTTGTTTTTATTATATTTTTTTATTTTTGTTTTTGTTCTACATACAACTTCTTACTAATTAAATCGCCTTTTCCCTGCTTTCCCTATTTCCTATGTGGCATGCATTTATGCAACTTGCCGCTCAAATAACTGTAGTTTGTGATTTATTTGTTGTAATTTTGTAGTTGTTGTTTTTATGTTTTTTAATTTGAGCCAACTCAACGCCCTTACAGTTAATAACACTAAACGGTAAATGGAAAATATGTCAAGCGGAAATGCATTTAAAGTTTATTTGCACTCGGCATTAATTTGCTAGCGTCGCGCAGTCGTCAAACATTACTAAAACAGCAACAAAAACTACGATTACTTTGCTCATTACGTTCTTTTTAATTTTATTTTTATACTCTCGCAACATGTTGCTGCAGAGTATAATAGTTTTGTTTACACCTAACGGTTGTTTGTAACACCTAAAACTAATCGAGTTAAATATAGACTTATATATATCTATCTACCATATATATATATTATATGTATATATAAATGATCAGGATCACAAGACGAGTGGAAATTCTGAGTGAATTCTAGATCACATACCACTAAAGCTAGATCGACCCAACTTGCTTAGAACAAGTCTTAATAACTACTCCTCGTACGTTATAAAAATGGGCAAAATCAGATGATAAATATTCTGTTGAATAATGAATATTGTATTCTTTTACAACGGATTTTTAATAGAAAGTTTTTCCAACACTTGAAAATATGCTCCCGGCTTTGATCGTTCAGCATTGCGAGAGTATAAAATGTTCGGTTTCAATCGAATTTAGCCTTTCTTACATTTTTTTTATATTTTTGCTGCCACCCGGCGTCATTATTTCGCTTTTCGATCTACGCCATAAATTTTACGCGCTTTATATGTCATCCATTAGTTGACAAATTTTGTTGTTGTTTGATTCTTTTTCCTTTCTTGTTCGCCCTTGTTTGCTGTTGCAGATTTTTGATAATTTTCCGTCTGCTTCGTCTGCTGTATCTCTACTTCATACCATCTGCCGCCACAGAGTCCGTATGCCATATAACGGTATGTGTCCTTGTCGGCAGTAATATTGCTCGAAGAGTGAGCGCAGCGCTTACGAGTGTTCGCTCTGTTACTGCCGCTTGCTTATTGGTGTGCGTGGCTCCGTCACTTTAAGCCAATTTAATGCTGCAATTATTGCAGCAATGAAGACTGTGCGTTAGTCGCAAGCAATGTCAAAATATAATTGGAAATTAATTGAAAAGTATGTATGTGTGGTGCTGTTCTCATATAAAGGGTGTATTTTTTAGAGGTTTAAGCAATTTATTTCAAATAAAGAATAGGAAAATTCATCAAATATAAATATTTTGGCTTTATTAGTTCAGAAATTGTATAGCATTTAGAATAAAATTTTGGGCGTATGGTCCATTAGGATGAACTAAAAGCTAATCTATCAAATTTATGGGTTAAATGAACCCTAAAGTATATAAAGCGAAAATTAATTCCTGGAAGAAAAATTTTTTGGCTTAATTTTAAAACGCCTCAATACCCATATAAATAATACCTAAAAAATCTGTCCATACAAAAATTGCTTTTGATGGTTCAGTTTGTATGACAGCCATATGCTATAGTGGTCCGATTTAATATATTTCATTAGATATTGTAGCTTTGCCTTGGGCAATAAACCATGCAAAATTTCGTGAAGATATCTCGTGAAATAAAAAAAATTTTCATAGGAGAACTTAGTTTCGATCGCTCAGTTTGTATAGTAGCTATATGCTATAGTGGTCCGATATCAGCAATTCCGACAAATGAGCTGCTTCTGGAGAGAAAAATACATGTGCAAATTTTCAGAGCGTTATCTCAAAAACTAAGAACTAGTTCGCTTATATACAGATAGATTTTGATAAATGCCTGCTCACATTGTTTAACATGTCAAACAAAGTGTCTACTTTGACAGCTATCTCTAAAAAAAATTGTTATGAAACTCTAAAAACGAACATTATAAATATGAATTTATATATGCATGTGTTGCCCGTATAAAGCCGCATGTCAGCTGTTGGTGTTGCGTTGGCTTAAAACATTTGCCAGATAAATTGGCCATAATAAGGCAGGTTTTAAGCTGACAGATATATTATATATACATATATAATATTTGAGAGCAGATGTACACATATTATAATGTATATACATGCAAGTATATTGTCTGCCACATGTCAGGCAAACTATAAATTTGCATATTCTTTGCTATCCTTGCCGCGTTCGTCACACAATTTCATGCCTCCAATGGCTTTTTCATGCGTATTCGTGGAATTAAAATTTAATGTATAAATTAATGCAATTACTTCGGTAGAAAACATACATAAGTAAATTTCCGGAAAAGTTAAGTGCTGTGTAAATTCGTTAATGTAAAAGAGCCGAAATTATGCTTTTGTTGTTTGGTTCCAAAAAATGCTTTTTCATGTTAGAACCATTCTGAAGTTTGATACTAACCGCTTAAGGGTCAACAGTTATGCAAGCAAAAAAATTTAATGTGTTTATTTTTGGATTCGGAATTGATTCGGTTTTGGACTCAGTAGGCACTGAATGGTTGCAATGCTGTTGGAGTCCTACTCCGTATCAGGCCTTTGACGGTTTTGCCAATACATGCGTATTCAGAGAATGACAACTAAATAATGCGCTGGAAACTAAAAACAACTGAGAAGTCTGGCGCACTCGAATACAGTGACGGTAAAAGTATACAATATCTATGCGTCCATTATTTTGATGCCAGCTGAAATACCATATATTTCTACATGATTGCAGCATATATTATTCTTAGCCTACAGGCGCAAATAAAAAATCTGAATGTTCCAGGAAACATCTTACATATAATTCAGGGTTATTTCAACTGGCGTGTAGATCAGAAGAAGAAGTCGGATCAATACGGAAATTATTAATTTCAAGGGTTTATCAATCAACAAATCACAGTTACCTATCTCCAGCATAGTCTAAATATTGCGATTTAGGTTTCATCACTACCAAAAGAGAATTAGAAATCAGATTCAAATAGAACAAGTTTTTTCGGACGACAATATTGGCAAAATTGTCCCGAATTCCTAATTTATGCTTGTGAACAGTGACATAATATTAAAAACTGAACAGGATCATCAAGTGACCCCAAAAAATATTGGATTCATCGACGTTTTCTCTTGAAACAAACCAAGTTACTTCCTAGAGGTATACGTCAAGATGTTACTTCGTTTGGTAATACCTACTTAGAAGTGGCAATGTGGTCCCGTTAGATACCAAAATTTTTCTTTATATATCTATAATTATCCCTGAAATGTATAACCACCATGTCGCTTGTCTCAGTCTAAGGTCTAAGCATTGAAACCTCCTCTTGTTATATCCTTAGAGATATAAAACTTTGATTTTTGCCAACCACAATACGATCTTGAAAATGAAAATACATTCTTTATATTGTTTGTTTTACCCACACATTATTTAAATCGTTTTACCTTCTCATTGCAGTCTATCGCATAAACAACCCTATCTAACTGCTGGCGCACAAAAACCGAGACGAAATGACTAAATAAGACTGAATGTAAAGAAATAAAACGAAAACGCTGAAAAAGTAAGCGTGAAGAACCGTGTGACCAGGCGGAGTAATCAATTCGCAGAGACGACGACGACGACGGCGGCGAATGGATAAATTCAACAAACGATTAAGCCACAAGTAAAAAGAGAATAGGCAAGTTGGTAATTACGCATGCGCGCCGGTCGGTGGCGTGTGGGTAAGCTGTCGCGGCAAACGTGCAGCAAAAAAGTGGACAAACCAGCAAAACTTGCCAATCACACAAAAACAAAAACCAAACAGCAACAAAAAAAGCGCAAAAAATTTTTAATTAAACGCAAATTCTATGAGCTGCAAGAGATAGATTAACAAAGCATACAACAACAAAAACAACACAAAATCCAACAATGCGCTGAGCACAAAAAAAGCATGCATAAGTGTATCTTTCTTTTTTAACGCCACACACACACACGCATACATATACACATGCCCACTTACTATCTCAACACACGAGCAAGCAAAAATTTACATATCAACGCCACAGCGCGCGCTTTGAAAGCGGACGTCAAACGTTAAATAAGATAACTAATAATAAATAAATACACCGCGACAAACATGGTCAAGGGCATTTTGGTGAACCGCAAAGCGGATGATGCGCACAAGGCGCAGCTGAAAATGGAGCACGCCGACCTCGTCGCCGAGATGCAAACGGTGGAAAATCTGCCGACGCACGAGCGCCTGCAGCTGGCGCGACTGTAAGTGGCAGCACACAAGACACCAACAAATATTTAACAATTTCTTCTTTCGTTTTTTTTTTTTTGTATTTTATTTTCAGCCGCCGCACACAACAGCTTAAGGTCGCGCGTCAAAAGGAGAAGGAGTGGCTGAAATTACAACGCGCCAAAGGTAACGCGACCTCAGCGCTCAGCGGCAGTCACACAACACATCACTTTCGCTCGAACTCGGGCAGCACCAGTCGCCACATATCCTTCGAGAGCAGCGTTGTGCTGCTGGAGGCAGCCAGCCGCAATGATATGCACGAAGTGGCCGAACTGCTGGAGCGTGGCATAACGCCGGATGCTGCGAATGAGGACGGCTTAACGGCGCTACATCAATGTTGCATCGATAATAATGTTGAAATGTTGCGCCTGCTGCTGGAGTATGGCGCGAATGTGGACGCACAGGATAGTGATAAATGGACGCCATTGCATGCGGCGGCCACATGCGGACACTTGGAGCTGGTGCGCATACTCATCGATCATGGTGCGAATTTGTTGGCGGTGAATACGGATGGTAATATGCCGTATGATCTGTGCGACGATGAGAATACCTTGGACTATATAGAGGCTGAGATGTCGAAGCGCGGCGTGACGCAGGAGCTGATCGATGAAACGCGCTCGTCGACAGAGCGTCAAATGCTGAAGGATCTGATGGAGGTGGCGCGCACGGGCGGTGATCTTGAAGAGCCGGACTACCAGGGTGCTACGCCGGTGAGTTGGCGTATGAATTTTTGTCAAGGCATTCCCTTTTATATGTTTTTCACTTGTTTTTTAAAGCTACACATAGCTGCGGCAAATGGTTATGTGCGCGTGGTGGAGTTCCTGCTGGAGATGCATGTCAATGTGGACGCGGTGGATAAAGATATGTGGTCGCCGGTGCATGCGGCCGCATGTTGGGGTCATGTAAGTTCAATAAGCAATTAAATCAATTAAATTGATTTTTGCATTTAATTTAATTTTTAAATGAATTGAGTTGAATTGAATCATACTAAATTAAATTATCTAAAATTAAATTGAAATAAATTTTATTAAAAGAAATGAAACTCAAATGAATTGAATGAAATTAAATTAAATAAAATAATTTAAATTAAAATAAGATATCATAAATTGAAATAAAATAAATTTAATTAATTCAAAATAAATTACATAAAAAAACTTAAAAGAATAAATATAAAAATAACATAAATCTACTTGCATTTCAAAAATTTAAACAGCTGGAGGTGCTAGAAATGCTTGCGCAATGTGGTGCCGACCTGAATGCCAAAAATAAGGATGACGAAACGCCCTCAGGTAGGCTACAACTTTGTGTGCTGTAGAAATAAACACAAAATTCAAAAAATTAAAATTTTTTAATATCTCACACACGAATCCGTTTCTTTCACACAGATATTTGCGAGGATCCTGAGATACGCGAGCGCATCGAACAGCTAAAAACCGAGCAGGAGAGTAAACGTCTGGCAGAGGCGCAGCGGCGGCGTGTACGACGCTCACAAAGCAATAACACACGGTGAGTGGAAAAGCTACTTAATTTTTCTTTAAATATATATTTTTCTAACTATACATTTTTCAATATTAACTTTTTCTGTTGCCTTCCGAACCTTATATTCGCACAGCGCCCAGTCTGTGCGCCGCACCTCCCTACGAGACAAGACGCTAACAACCAAAAAGGACGCCGTCGAAGAGGCGCGTCTGCGTTTACAAGCACAAGAAGTCTTCATAGCGCCGGACGGCACAACGCACGCCGACACAAATGGTCTTAGCGGCAGCAGCAACAACACTACCAATAATCATCATTCCACGTTGGCGCTATTGGATGGCGTCAACGACACGACAGCCACCACAGCACTTGCCTCCACGCACGACTACAATTGGCTAACGAAAACGCCAACAAATAATAATAACAATGCCAACAACAATAATAATAATAACAATACGATTAGTAGTAATAATAACAACGATAAGAAAGTTGCAGCATATACAGCTAGTCTTGCAACGGCGACGGCGGCGTCGGCAACCACAACGACAACAACAAACGGTAGTGTTAACACGTATTTGCCGCATTCGCTGTCCGCCATGGATGTGATGGATGCCTCGTCGCATGCATTTAATTCACGTCGACCGCCGGAGGGTCGTGAAAATGACGAATTACAGTTGAACGCCTACAAAGCCGGTGGCGGCGAACATCATCGTTCGACATCGGCGACAGCAATGATTGTTAGCGATCGTAACAATATGACGGCGGCGGCCGCATCGACGGCCGGCCCGGATGCGGTGCACATACAGTCCAGCAAGGAGGCGGCGAATGGCAAGATAAATGTGCAAGTGACAGTGCTCGTGGGTAAGTGGAAAATGTGCGCGCAACATACGAACGTTGCGCTGCTGAAGGGTGTTGGCTAGTGTGAGTGCTTCTTTCGGGGTAATACAATGAAATAAATAAATAGTGTGCTTAATGTGCTTAGTGTTGGGTGGCGAACGTGTGACGTATGATTAATGTAACGCTTTTAGTTTCTTTTATTTGCATCGTTTAAGCGCCTAGTGGTATGCTATTATTTTCCATATTTATTATATTTTCGAAGGACATGCATATGACAAATGCGTTTTAGCTTTAAGATTGTAAATACCGTTGCATTACACATATGTTTCTGGCGCAAAAATGTGATTGTTTGCAAAAAATTCATAAAAAAATTTTAATAAATAAGTGTAGAGGGAAATCATATACATATTGTAACTATTTTTCAAATTAGTGAAATTTTTTTCGTTAAAATATTTTAGACATTTATTTGAGTGCTGAAATAATCATATATGTACATAAATGAGGGTAGGTCAAAAAAACCGAATATTTTTTCTTTCGCTTGATACTCAGATAAATAGGTTCTTAGACACCTCTACAAAAATCTCTGTGTACCTGCATGGCTATGAGTTATATATGTTCTCATTAAAATATTCGAAATAGTTTAAAATAAATTTAAAAAATTGCAAAAAAAATTCATTGTTAAAAAAAAATTAATATTAACCTGTAAACATATATTTATATATAATATAATTTTTGGTCATTACCCTTATCATGATTAAGCTGTAGATGTGGTAAAATTCAACACATTATACCCTCAACAGAGTATACAAAGTTTGCCACGAATTTTGTAACACGCAAAAGAAAAGGGATGGAGACCCTATAAAGTATGTGTGTATGTATACAAATCATCAGCATGATCTGAGTTGAGTCGATTTAGCCATGCTCCTCTGTCTGTCCGTTTGTATATATCCTCAGATTTTAAGATATCACTCTGAAATTTTGAACATGTTCTTTTCTCTCCAAGACCAGTAAAGCATATGTGTACATAGCTGTCATATAAACTGACCGATATAAATCGAGTTCTTGTATGGAAAATTTTTTTATAGGAGAATATATCTGCACAAAATTTGACAAAGGTTATTGTTCACGGCAGCGCTACAATCTATGAACATATTGCTCAAATCGGACCACTATAGCATATAGCTGCCATATAAACTGACAGATCATAATCAATATAAATACCTTTTTATATCCTGTAATGCTAATGAGAAAAGCACCTGTGAAGGGTATTATAGCCCGCACTCACACTTAACCTTTTGTTTTTATTTTTATATAATTTTGAGACCCTCTAATTATAGTAATAATTTCATACAAGTGTTGAATTCCAGAATTTTTTATATTACGCTCATTTTTTCATTACATAAATTTACTTGATAAAAAAACTCCACAAACATGCAAGTAATAGTTATGCATTCACACTGCTAATGCCATAGTAGTAGTCTTAATGTAAAATATGTGATATAATAATTAAGCCATGAAGTAGTATTAGTATTAACGCATGTATTTATGCAGCTTAATAAACATTACTGTAATTATTTCATGTACTGTTATTTAACCACATATCATATTTATGTTGCTTGCATTCATTAATGTATTTTTTTCGATTTGTTTTTTCTCTTCATGTTCTCTTTTTTGTTGTGCCATTCAATCGGTTATGTCCCGCATGTCGTTGTTGTTGTTGTGCCAATGTTTCAAATCAACTTGTGGTTCTGATTGCGTCGTATATTAAATAAATCTGTGAAATAACGCAATTGACTGGTCACGTGACAATCATCCATACAACATAATTTGTATACGACGTTGTTTTTGTATTTGCAATAAATAAAAATAAAATTGCACCACATCACACACATGCATATTGAAAAAATGCACGCCTTACACACACACGCATGCACGCACTCACACGCAGACACTACCAATACGCATCATCATCAACTGCAGCAAAGCATGCTTATGCCAGCGCATACACTCTCCATGGAGAGTCTAAACTCTACGGCAGCCACACTGGCCAATTTGAAGAAGCAACGTTCGCTTTCGCGTACAAATAACGGTATACTGATAAGTGAAAATGGTTCTGTTCTAGGAGCCGCCAACAACACCAGCAACACGATCAACAATCATCTGCACACTGGCAGCGCTAACAACAACAATTCAATACTTGCGAACGACACAAGCAGCGGCGCGGTGAATCAGCAACCACTGAGCGGTGGTCTACATCCCAGTCACCTGGAGTTCAACAACGGTGCGAGTATCGGTGCGGGTGGTGGTGGTGGTAGTATAACGAGCGGTGGCGAGCAGTCGACCGGCTACTCGAACGCCTCGTCGATGAACAAGTTCAGCGGTATAACGGGTGATGTGGTTAGTGATAGCACGAGTTCCAAAAAATGCTGTACGCTAATGTGAACGCAAGTGTGCAACAAGTGGTCGGTCGGTGCGGCGTTGGCGGTGTAGCAGCGTTACAGTATTCGTAGTTGGCATTTTCTAATTGATAAATGTTGCATGCCAGCGTATATTTATATACTATATATATTATATGTTTTTATATATATAATACATATACGTTTGTACGTATTTGTGCAGCAGACAGCGTCTGCAGCATTTGTTGCAACAATTTAACAGGGTATTAAATATATGTTTGTAGGTATATAGCGGGTATGCCAGTGTATTTTTTAGGCAAGTTGTTGCACCACAAACACACACACACACATATACTGATGTACATCACAAGGTATGCCGAAATTACACTTTTCTCGTTGTAAACTCAATTCACCAAACACACTATGTATGTTTTCTTGTTGGAAAGCTGTGTGCACAACTTTGGTGTACTAATCAAAGGTTGGCTGCAGTCGGCAGAGATTTTGAGGTTGTTGGTGAGTTATAACACATCATTTTCTTAACGAGAAAGTAAGAATTAGTTAAAAGATTTTTTATGCTAACTATGTATATGGGAATGGTGAACTTTTAATTTATTTTTCTTTTTTTCAAACAAATTTTAGTTGAGTTAAAATTTTCTGAAGGTTAATTAATTTTTATGTTTTGAATTTTTTTTTTCAATTTTCAATCTTCGAATTATTGTTTTTTGTAGATATGTATGATTTGTCTTTTCAAAACTAAAATATTTTATATGTATGTATGTACATGTGTATGTTTTTATAATTCTTGTATGCATTTTTTCAAATATATGAAATTCAAGTTCACAACAAATTTATTTAAAAAAAAAACCATATAGTTTTATGAAAATAAATATGTATTTTTTCATTTTTTCTATAATTTTGGAACTAAGTGTAAATTCATTTTGAAAAATAAAAGTTTCGAATTTTATAAAAAAATTAATTTACATAATTTTTGTAATTTTTTTTCTATTGTAACTAAAGCTAACTTTCGTACATTCTGCAAATAAATTTGTTTTTTTTTTACTTTTTTCTATAATTTTGCAACCAACTGCAAATTAGTTTTAAAAAATCAAAATTCGAATTTAAAAAAATACTTTTGAAAAAACCAATTTCCGAACTTAATAAAAAAAATTAAATGTTGTTTTCTATTGCTTCTATAATTTTGAAAATAACTACAATTAGTTTTGGAAAAATAAATTTTCGAATTAAAAAAATTTACATAATTTTTGTAGTTTTTTTTTCTAACCCAAGCTAATTACATATTACTACAAGCTAGTTTAAAATTCAAATTTTCGACCTTAGGAAAATAAATTTTTATATATTGTTTTTTTCTCGAGATTGCCATAATTTTTGTAATTTTTTTTCTAATGCCTCAGAAACTAGTCTCTGGACCACTTTTTGCTCATATTAAAGGTTATAAAAATTTAGTGACCTCAAATGTATAAATTTAATTTTTTTTAAATATTGTTTTCATTAAAATAAATTTGAATAAAAAGTACTTAATAAATTGTTAAAGTGTCTTTGAACGGCTGCTCAATACCTATGATTAGATTTTTCATATCAAAAAAAGTCTTCAGGTGGTTCGCTAGTTTAAAGTCGATTATTGTTAACTTTTTGAGGTTTCATTTTCAACCAACTCCACCAAATTATGAAATTATTATTTTTATATTCTAATAGAAACCAGCTTCTTCAAAAAATATCTAAATTTTTTTAAAATCAAATTCGAAGAAATCAAAATTTAATCAGTTTTCACCGATTCCCAAAAATAACCGCCAACAACCTTGCAAAATCTTGTAGCATGCTTTTAGGCGCAGGCCGTAAAAACACAAAGCCACTAATCTTACCAATGCATCACAAAAGCTAGTAAAAAAATGTATAACTATAGTTAAACACATTGTAAAAAAAAATTATTTATTATAATAAAACTAATTATACATAGAAGGGCATTTGAATCAAAAAAACATTTAGCAAAACTAAATAAAAAACATAAAAAATAATATAACAAGTAACAATTATAACTTCTAACTATAGAAAAGGAGCTATTATTGAACTAGTGACTAGTTAATAAATAAGAAAGCACAGCGTTGCATTGGAAAACATATTAAATACATACATACATATATATGTATATGTAAGCAAGCAAAGCAAATGTAAAGCAAGTGTCTTAATATTTTAGGTGTTTATTCTTCTTGTTTTTTTTTTCTCTTTTTTAATGTATACTTTTTTATAGTTAAAGCAGCAAAGCATGTGAAACGAAAATAACTAAGCTATAAGAAATTGAAGTTTGTAAACAAGCTGTTATTTTGCAGAAGGAAAATGTATTTGCTTTATATTAACGGTATTTAGTGAGAAGTATATGTGCTGCACTATTTTTGAATTTAGTGTGAAGTGCTAAGTAATTAAATTTAATTAAAATATGAGTGCTGAAATAACAGAGCAACTTTTTTCGCTTATAAAAAATAATGTCCAGCAAATGTATAGGTTCAGCGCCTAAAATGCCAGCAAAATTACTTTTTTCAAACAAAATTTGACATTAACTAAATCTAAACGACTTAAAAGCAATACTTTGCAAGGAAGCATGCCAGGCATAAAGAGTGATCAACTTGGTTTTTTAAGCTTTATTAATATTACTTTTGTAGAATGCATAAAAAATAATTATATATTATGTATGTATAATTGATTTTTAGCTGTAAATGCGATTTAATAACTGTTAATAAAGCTAAGCGGTGGAGTTAATTGAGACGCTATACTCCAGTGCAAGATACAGGGTATGATGATGATGGAGTAAATTGAGCTTTTGCTTAACTTTAAAAAAAATAACTGTAAATATATCGAAATACAGCACGCTTACGGTTTCATTATTTACTACACTTTTTCTTTATATACCATATGTAGGTATGTATTTCGCAAAAATCACTCTATCGCTTACCTCTATTTCGGTATATTAAATTAAAAACGAAAGCAAATATAAAAAATTAATAAATAAAAACTGAATTGAAAGTTATGGCCTTATTTGTTAACTATAAAAATCTTAATTATGTATGTACTACACACTGTAACAAATATATATATTATAAACTTTATTAGAATGTGTATTTTTAGTTATGCAAATTTAGAGCAATGATTGAAATAAAAATAAACATAAAAAAATGTAAACTGTATTAGAAATGTAGGCACGAAAAGTATGTGTAACTATTTAAATATAAATTATATATATGTATGTATGTATAATTGAAAAATGAGAAATATAAACATTAGTTAATGGAAAAAGAATAAATAAAGAAATGTATATGAATATCATTTTATTGAAATTTTTTAAAAATTTTATTTTCATACAAAATTTTACATAAATTTTGTCATTTTTTTCTAAGCCAAGCTAACCACACATTAATTCTATTAATATCCTATTTCTTCTGTAATTTTGAAACTAATTACAAATTAGTTTTGAAAAATCAAACTTTTGAATTTAAAAAAAAAAATTATATAATATAATTGTAGTTGGGTTATGTAACCCAAGCTTAAAAAACTCTAATTTTCGAGCTTTATTGATATTTTGATTTTTTTTCTATAGTTTTGGCACTAGCAGCAAATTAATTTTGAAAACTAACCCAAGCTTAATTGAAAAAAAAATCTTATTTTCGAGCTTTATGGAAATAAATTTTTTATAATTTTCTATTTATTATAAAATTTTGGAACTACGTATATAAATTAATTTTGAGAAACCAAATTTTCGAATTTTATAAAAAATATTTTTTACATTTACCCTGAATTAAAAATTTATATAAAATTTTATAATACTTTTTTTTATATATTTTTTCGATGAGGCATTCAAATTAAAAAAATGCATAAAAATAATGTGCATTTACAGAATTTCCTGTACTTTAATAATCGGTGATCAATTTTAAAAGCATTTGGATTCCCTCAAGCCGATTTCCAGGAAGACCTCTGCAAAAAGTGCCGGTGAATTCGAAGCCAAAAAAATTTAATACAATATACATTAACATATGAATAAAACGAAGCAGCATGCAGGCAGAAATGAAAATTTAGATTTTTGACAAAATGACGGCTTCACAAAAATATTCATTCTTCGTGAAAACATTTGCACTCAGACTGGCTTCAAAAATCTAAATAACTGTCGAAAATCTTATTGCTTCGATCATTATCTAACAAATATATCTAAGCAGGTCGACGATCGTTCAAGCCGATTGGTCCAGCCGTTTCAGAGAAGAGTTTCCCCACTGATGCTGAAAACAACGTTTTTAGATTTTCAATTTTTTTAAACACTTTCATATTTCGGAAATTATTTGCTGGATAAACTTCAAATTTTCGGAGAATATGTATGTACATATTTTCGGAGTATGTACATTCGATACAGAAGCAGGAAAATAATACGATTTTTTGAAATTCAGCAGTGGATTTAACCCCTTAAACGATTTAAAGCATGCCAACAAAGATTATTTGAATATGTTTCTGGCAACTAAAAAAATACTTGATGCCTGTCTGATCACCTAAATCTTATTTGGAAGTATGTAAGTGAAAAAATAGACTCTGTCATATGGAAATTATGGAAGTACTAGGAGAAACTTTTAAGCCTACATATATATTTATTTACATATAACAATTAAGGATACAGGATTTATAAATTAATACCAGCTCTTGCACGAAAAAATTAATAAATTAAGTTAAAAAGTTACATTCAAAATTGTTTTTCTTTAAGCGTAAAAGAGGCTTTACCTATGCTTGAAAACCAATTTTAAAATTGATTTTTAGTTAAAAATTGTATTTTGTAATAAAGCACGGTGGCGTGTAAACCACTCCCTATGTGGCTTGAGCCCGAACTCTTTACAAATTACACAAAAAGTAACTAGTTAGGATTGTTGTAAATAAAATAGGTCATCCACAATGCAACACTGTGAAGTTTTCTGACTCAACGTAAACAAAGAACAGCTGTAGGCGAAAAAATGCAGTTCTAAACATGCCTAAAGAGTGTATTTTCAAGTTTTTTTTTTTAAATTTAATTGTGAAAGATATTACGGTTGCTGGATCTATGGTACAATTAACATAAGTACCTAAAAAGTGTTGCCCCACAACTCAATAGATGCATCTACTTAAACTGTAAGAAGCATAGAAAAATCGTTTACTTATATTGTAGCAAAACAATGCCAACATCAATGCAATTATATCGCTACAGTTTTACCGCAGGCGCCTTTGCTGCTGGCGGTAGTTTTTTTGGACGCGCGCCAAGTCAATTATCAGAGCTGCCGGTATTGACAAGTGCATTTGCGCCAACAGCTGCGGCCACATACTATTTAGGTGGGTAATGTCCTAAAAACAAATCAGTGTAATAATGAGAGTAAGTTTTTTGTATTTTATCATTAGAATTGCTTTTTTTGCGTGCACTGCCCATTTTCTTGATGGTGATTTGTAATGTGCTGAACTGGCGTTATTTTCTCAAAGCTTTGCAGTGTGCCGAGCATACATTGACCGCAACGGTGCTTACTGCTGCTACTAATTATATGATATCGGTAAGTATTTGGTAAAATACTTATGCTTTTGAATAAATTATATTTATTTTTTAATAGTTTATATTAGGTGCACTCGTTTATAGAGAAGAGATTACACTGTTGTCAACGATTGGTGCCATATTTATTATAGTCGGCCTTTGGTTTCTATGTAAAGCACAAGAGGAGCAAGCATTAAGTGCAAAACCTAAAAAGCTACATTAACTATAAATCATTTTTGAAAGAAGTGGAATAAAAATGTAATATTTATTTTATTATAAGCCAATAATTAATTATTAAACGACTCTTTAATAGTTTTGGCTTTTGTAATAAGTATTAAGGATAACCCTAAGATCTGAGGCGTTACATTTGATAGCCTGTGTTGCTTCACTTCGCATTATGACCGCCATTATTGCCAAAGTACAGAGACGCAACAAAATCCTTAAGGCGCTAGCCGGCTGCACCTGAGGCGAAGTCAAAGAAAAGTTGATATAGTCGCCTGAATGTAGTGAAACGCAGATAAAGCAGGTACAGACGTGTCAGCGAACTACAAAGCGTACGATAACAGGATGCCTCTAGAAGATGGGATGGAATCTAGAATTTATCACCCAAACGGGGATTAGATAATCGTTACAACAACAACAGGATGCCTCCTGATGTCTCCCGTCGAACACCGGCATAGTGAGGCCAACATGCTTGCGGTTAAGGAACACATTACACTCCTCTTCAAGGAGTCTCTGCGGAGGTATTTTCGCAGAAATCAACCTTGCAGTCGTCTGCTTGAAGCGTAGCCGCCACCTAGAAGTCTCAAGAGGTCATTCCTTGAGTACTTCGATGACATTGAACAATACGCTAACCAGTCTACGGACGCAACCAACTCCACCTACCCCATGAACGGCATTCACAGTGGAGGTATTAACACCTTCACCGACTCCCTCTCAGTGAGTGGAGTACTTGGCGTCAAACCACCACCCATTACAAACAAAGATTTCGAGTTGCCATTGAATCCAGAGTGATCCTTGTGGAACTTCTTTCTAGATATTGTTTAAGTTTAAACTCCTACCTAGCCAGAACTGATCTCGGCATACCAAATATATGTCATACGTGCAATCAGTCTCCGCATGAATCTAACCATTTCATGCATGCCAAATGAATCCCACTTACCTAATACCCCACCTCGTCGAAGGAAAATACTGTAGAGTTGTACTGTCCTTGGCCAAATAAAAATTCAGCTCCTTTTCCGTTGCGTAGAACCGTTTGTAGTGGGAAGGGCATCAAATCTTTTAGTGAATCGACAAAATCAGTTATTGTTTTCGTAGTAGTGTCCAAAATGATTCCACAAGTAATTTTGAGGAAAGCAGCGGTGTTGATCCTACTGAATAATTTTGACCCCACCCGCAATGAGAAACGTTGAATTTTTTTTTTATAATTTTTCTCTTGGTTGTTTCTTTCTCTTTTTTGTAATATAAGTAATATTTTTGTATGATTTATTTGTTGTTGTTTTTATCAATTAAATTTAATAATAATAATAATAGTAATAATAATTATTATAATAGGTAGGCGTATAATTACTTTCTGTTTTGCTCTTCATCTCAAGTTTGTCTCCTTGAAATACTAAACAAATTATATGCAATCAGTTGAAGACAACAACAAATTACACAAATTTTATATATTTTGTTTTCGGTGATACCCCTGCTCTATCTATGAAGCACGCTTATAGCGGCTATCATTTTGAACTGATTCCCGTCTTTTCTTAACATTTTATCATATGTAGTTGTTGTTTTGCAGTCGACTTTTCTAGCACAAGTAAACACTTAAAATATTAATTCTGTTTTTTTTTACAAATTATCATTGCTGTAACTTTTGCATTGCGTAGCTTTGGACAGCAGCAGCAGCTGTCAATTGGGTTGCGAAGCTACGCTGTGTTGCTGCAATTTGCATTTTTTTGTTGTGCGTCGTGCAATATTTGAGATTTTTTTCGCATAATTGTGTCATTTATTTTTTTATATTTACTTTTTTTGCTTTTGTTTTTGTTTAAACTGATTTCATACATTCAACTTGCTGCTTCATACTTTCGTTTGCTGGCTTACATGATGAAAGAGCAATTACATACATTTATAATATTTATTTATTAGAAAAAAATGAACATAAATAAGTATTTCTGTAATTGAAATTAGCATAAGTTTTCTTTGCGTTTCTTTAAATATAATATATTTTTTGCTTTTTCTCGTTTTCTGTACTTCTCCTTGTTTTGTTTTTGCTTTCACTTGTTTCTCCCATTTTTTTGTGTTTTTTTGTTTGTTTAATAGCTGTGTAGTTTTGTTTACGAAATTAATTGTTAACGCGCGCGCGTATTTGTTTACGTTCAATTGTTGCAGTTGCTCGGTTGGTTTTTGGTGGCCGCTGTTGCCACTGTGTACTGCAGAGCTTTGACTTTCGTCACACTACTAATTAAAGGTAAAATTTTTTGTTTGTTTTGTTATTGTTTTTTTGTTTTCAGTGTATATATGTAAATGTATGTGTATATATTCGTGTGTTTATGTATTTCCTTTTTCTTTTTTTTTTTTGTTTCCATCATATATATATATATATATATGTGTGTAGATACATATATATTTACGATTCTTAAGTGGTTCTCATCATTCTGCCTTCTGCTTCAATGCTGCTTCGTTTCGTTTTCATCACACACCCGCACTTCCTGCTTTCTTGGCAACTATTTCAATCAATTTTTATTGTCCAAACCCATTGGTATGCGCTGCGATGAGCGATTAATATATGAGCTGGACGATGGGTTGGATTGGCCGCCACTGCCATTGCGTCCACCCAGCGTACGCGAAGGTGGCGCATTGCCACGTCCGTTACCGGCGCCACCACCGCCGCCGCTACCACGCGGGCCACGATAGTTGCCCGAATCGTAGCGCGAGCCGGAATCCTTGTTTGAGTACACATTGCCGCCGCCGTTCTGATAATACGAGCCGCTCGATGAATTTTCATTGTTGCGGAAGTAGATGGCACTGCCGCCACGACCGCTGCCGTTCTGTTGCGAATTACCGTAACTGCCGCGACCGCGACGTCTTTGGAACTGTCGTCCGTTGTTGTAGTGGCCTGCAAATGAAAGTTTTCACTAAGAGAATCTAATTAAACATAGAAATGCGGTTTACTTACCACCATCTTGCTGTTGATTTGAATTCCAATGATTGGATTCATGTGCGCTACCCGATGACTGGTTGCTATCGCCATAACCACCAGCACTACCGCCGCCGACGCTGGGTCCGGCCGAGCCGCCGTTACCTGCACCACCGCTACTGTTGCTGGATGTCCATTCAATTTTGCGTACAATAGCTGGCGTGTTGTCGCTGTTGCCACTCGGTGTCGATGGGTTGGACAGTGCATTCATTTCGGCGCTCCATTTAGTGGGCGGCTCCAAGACGCTGCTTGCGCCAGCAACGCTGCTGCTACTGCTGACACCACTCGTGGATTTCAAAGCATTGGCAAGCGCTGCTGTGGCTGAAGCATTGGTGACTGCATTGCTGCTGATGTTGGCGGCTGCACGTACACTGACGGCATTGGCTTTGGACATGGCATCCCATTCGTTGGCTATCACCGATTCGCTGGCATTGAACTTGCTGTGTGTGCCCATGTCTTCGCTTACTTTTAGTTCCTCCGCAGCTGCGGCTGCTGCAGCGGCGGCAGCGGCAGCAGCACTCGCTTTGGCCACCACGGCTAGTTGCTGTTGCATTTGTTGCTCGTATGCTAAGCCGACGACTCCATTATCGAAGCCCAGATAACCGGCAGCGGTTACATCCGACACGCGTACATCACCTGGTTGCATACCTAATGTTGGTTGTGGCTGTTGTGCTTGCTGTGGTACTTGTGGCAATTGTTGTTGTGCCAGACGTGCTTGCGGTGCGGCCATTCGTGCCATTATCATAATGGGTGCTTGTTGTTGCTGCTGCTGCTGTTGTTCGGTAAGCAACAACTGTTGTTTATGGGCTGTGACCGCATCTTGTGGCTGCATGCCCGGACCACCGACAGGCGAGAACAATTGTGGATGCTTTTGTTGTTGTTGTGGAAACATAGGACTCGGGTTGTTGCTCGCTAGTGTGGGCGTATTGCTGCTGTTGGCACTTGTTGGTGCAGCAACACTTGCGGCGGCCGGCTGCATGGGTGGGAATGATTGGTTGGTAAACGTTTGCGTTGGAATTGTTTGTTGCGGTTGTGATTGTTGTTGTTGCTGCTGCTGTTGTATGATTTGCTGCTGTTGTTGCAAATGGTGTTGCTGTTGATTTTTGTGCAGCTCTGCTGCTTGCAACTCACCACCATGAACTAATATATTTTGTTGTTGGGCTTGCGAGAGACTATCCTGTGTAATTTGTGGCTGTTGCTGGGTTTGTTGTGGCGGTGGTTGTTGGTGCTGTTCGAACACGACACTACCAATGGGTGCATTGCCAGCTAATTCTGGTGAATCGAGTTCGCTCTCTTGCAAAAAGTAAAAACTACCATTGCCAATTATCTCCGCTACGGGACGCATTTGTTGTTGTATGAATTGTTGACGATTGTGTGGGAACAAACCCTGTTCAACAGCACGCACTGTTGTTGGCGTAAAATGTCCTGGTGGTGGTTGTGGTGCTCCATGTATGGGTATAGCTCCCTGGGGTAACTGTGCAGCGGCGGCTTGTGTGCCTGGGCTAGTCATCAACTGACGCTGTTGCTGCGGTGGCGCTTGTGCAATTGGCACCATTTGTGGTGGTACCTGTGGTACACCGATAATACTGCCTGGTGGCACCTGTTGCATCTGTGGTGGTGCTCCCTGCATTTGCTGCGCTGTGAACATGGCTACATGCACCGGTGCGGCGCCTGCACCCTGTAGTGGTGCTTGGAAATTGGGGGGTACGGCACCAGCTACAGCATTTGTTGGTTGTATTACAACTGCATTTAGTGGTTGTTGTTGTTGTGTTTGTGGAGGTTGAATACCGGCCTGTACCTGTTGTTGTACATCAAGGTGCTCCTTAGTTGTCGTTTGCTGTGACACTAATTGTTGGGGCAAGTTTGGCTGTTGTTGCTGCGACTGCTGCAGCGGGATATCATTAGCAAGACCAGCATTTGTCGCCTGCAAAGCGTCATCCTCAGCTAACCCAACATTGGCATTCTGCTCATCCAAATCGTCTTCTACCTCCATAGATGAGACGTTTAACTTCTCCAATCCTTCCTCTAAATATAGCTCGTCTGTATTTTCCACATCTTCACCGTCGGCAGCATTGCTAAACACTTCCTCCTCTTGCTTGACCTCAACCTCTGCCTCTGGTGTAGCCATATAGATCTTATCAAGATAACCAGATTCCTGAATTTTATTGAAGATTAAACGTATTTGATCATATGTAAAGTTTTCCGCATAGATCTTGGGGCGTCCGTCAATGGTCATTGAATAGAGTTCGGCCGCTTTTTGTGCGGCAGTCACGAACGGTACATCATCTGCAGTTTCGGGACGGGTCGTACGTACATCGCAGCAACTAAAATGAAAATGTATAAAATTTTATTTATATGTATATGCTTTTTTGAATTTTACTACTTACAATTTATCCAAAATAGTGATATCGGCAGTTTCCAATTTCAATGCGCCATTGGCACCGTTTACAAAGTCGGCACGTATGGTCTCATCTGTGAAGCAATTGATAATATTTTCGATAACTAAAGCTTCACGAATTTTGGCAGTCTCAGCAAGGGCACGTGTAATCAGATCCTGCAATTCGTAAAAATGCGTTGAATATTTTTATCGATAAATAATTAGATAAAAAAATACCTTGCGTGCTTGTTTCCTTTGCTCTTTTTCAGCTTCTTTCACAAATTGCCACATTTGCTTGGAGAAATCGCGGGCGAATTCCAACATAGCAATAACAGCGTCATACTTTGCTACAGCAGCCTTCTGGTCGGAGCTCAACTCCTTGCCAGAAGCTTGAATGGTACGATATGATTCCAATTTAGTCTGTTAAAAAAAATATTAGTAATAAATGGGAGTGGAAATAATATAAACAGTGTCTATCTATCTATATACATTCATATTTCTATAGTGGCTTGATAGATCATAGCTATGATATAATATGCTATTAAGAAAGAAACTTGGAAAAAAAGGAGTTAAAACACTGTAGGGCTTGCTTACCTATACATCCGTACAGGTAAAATGAGTAATATTGCATATAAAGTTTAGTTTCTGTTACACCAAATAAACTTGGAAACTAGAAAAGCGTTACTTTGGCTTCACCTATGCTATAATACCCTTCATAGGCGCATTTCTTCTGGCACAAAAGTATATAAAAAGTTTTTGATTTTGATCGGTATGCTATAATGGTTTGATAACTGCGGTCAAGTGAGCAGCTTTTTGGGAGGAATAGAAAGTGTTCAAAATTTTAGATCGATATCTCAAATACGGGCTATATGGTTAAATCGACTCAGCTCATGCTGATCATATATATATATATACATATATTTTTATTTTACTTCGTGCCAAACTTAATATACTTTATTAAGGGTATAATTATACTTAATACCGTTAACTATAAATAGCAGGAAAATATTTACTCATCCCGTACATGCTTCAACAGAAATATCATGCACAGGTGTTTTTAGGTGACTATAGATATCGCCCACTCAATTTTTATTGTTTATCGCTTATCAACGAGCGACTAAAAATTTTGTTGACGAATTTGCAATTAAAAGTAGTAAACAAAATGAAGAGGTTCGGCAAAACAAAATTAAATAAACTTTAATTTTATGCAGAAATGGTAATCACCTAAGGCAAACATTGTGTTGCTTATTACGAATACCATAGAATGCAGTAATCAAGCAAAGTATAGTGGCCGCAACAAAAACAAAGCTGAAGCAAACAAGAAAAAGGAGAAGGTAGTAGAAGAAATGTGAAACAGTAAAATAAAACAAAAAAAAAAAATGAAGAAGGGCCATGAAAAACTAAAATAGTAGCAAGAACGAAGCGAAATCGCTTGTATAAAATAAAACATCGAAAATCGAACAGAAGCACATGGAGTTCCCGCATTATTCACTAGTGCTGCCACATTACAAAAACTGCTGAATAAATTGCTTCAACAATTGACATAGGTCAATGAAACCAGTCAACAAATATATAAACGGTGATGAACTTCTCATACAAGCATGCTATGCAAAACTCGAGTTTTGTCTGAGCACAAATTGTCATACTTCTTCATCGAGTCATTCAATAACACAAAAGCAACACACCATCATTATTTTCATGTTCTTTGTGTTACACACTGTTCGCTCCCCCGCACGGATGGCAATGGAAATATGCTGTGTCTTGTAAATTGTTGCTGCTACCATTGCTGCTTTTGCTAGAATCGCCGTAACAAAGATGGCGTCGCGCGAAAAAATTCTGCGAAATACACCGAACAAAACCGAAATGGCACGAATGCAAAATTTTTCTTAAAAATAAAGAAAATGGAGTTAATGCAAAATGTATTCGCAGTTGTAAATTCTAAATTATATCAAAAAATCATAACACCAAATAGCAGAAAATTTGAAAAGACTACAATGACTAATACACAGCTTTAGCATTCCATAAATTAGCACAATTTGTTACGACCGACGCACAATTATGCGGCCGGTTTAGTTAAATGTCTACGGCTTTGTTCCAGCCAGCCATACATACACTTCGATCTACTGCTTTTACTTACAGGGGCTTCTTTGTGAATCCTTCGGGATTTTTGTCATAAAAACAGAAATATATAACTTATAGAATACACCGCACTCACCTTGCGTTTCTCCAAATTGCGTATCTTATGGTCAATTGTGGTGATCGTTTGTTTCATTGGAATATTGGCTTCCAACACAGGATTCGCAGTAACTCCTTTTGTGTTGGTGCTGGTGGAGGTAACCGAACCCTCATTAGTAGTACTGTTGGCAATATTATTATTCAAGCTTGTGATAGTCGTATTATTCTCGGGCACAGCGTTGGAGTTGCTATTGATCACATCTTGAGACTTTTTTGTGGCACCGCCACCAGTACCATTATTACCACCGCCAGTACCATGCACAGAGCCTATGGAGGCTTGTTTCTCCAGTTTGTTTGAAGCAGAAGGCATACTTCACTGATAAAAACCGAATCAAGAATGAAGCGCAGCGCGTTTTTCTAGCGTGTCTATTAGAACGTGAATTATATGAACCGTGTGTGTCAAAATATAATCGCACCGTAGACAAAAAAGAGATAGAGCCGCAACCAGCAAAAACTAAACCACACAACGACGAAAACGATGACCACGGCGAGGAAAAATTACGAAATTCGCTCAAGCGCCGTCTTTAGGCGATTTCCATGTACTTTCCGAAAATAAAAGACAAAGCGTATGTGTTAAATGTAGGGAAACACGCTTTACATTGCTAATGAGAAAAGGCGATAGTGATAGCGATCTAAATATATCTGTCGCCTTTGCGTAGGAACAAGTTCAATTCGCCGTGTAGTTGCTCAAAACATCATAGTGTTGCCAGAAAGGTGTAAAATATGTTTGTACACCAAAAAATTAATTATTCTGTAATTTATTGCTTCTGATACAAAAACAAAACAAAATATATTAATTTAAAAGTGTATTTGTTGCAGCGCAGATTTATTTGATAAATGAAAATAAACGTGTTTTAAAATTTGATGTTTCGCGTTAAAAATGAAAAAAAAGTAAAAATTAAACTAATAGTAAACTAAATATTGCACTAAAAATGTGTTAGATATCGGATTTGTCTACTTAATTCGCGCGGTAGCTGGTAATGTTTGTTTGATTCGAGGTAAGTTCTTAACTTTTCTCTCACAACTTCTAAAACTAAAAACAAATTTTCTTTCCACTTAGAAAAAAAAACATATTATTTAATACTTCTTCAAACTTTTACATTTTATTGATATGTTTCATTATTTTGTTTATTATTATATTTTATAATAACTTTCAAAAATGCGTCATATTAAGTGCAATTGGTTACTACCATATTTTTATTATTTACTAAAACAAACAAGGCACTTCGTTTTTTACAATTATCATTTCATGTAGAAAATGATGTCAAATTCTTTACAGGAAAATCAAAAACAAAACAAAAAAAGAAAAACAAATTATTTTTATTAATAAAAATAGATAAAGTTTGAATATAAGATTAGTATAAAAGAAATATTTATGTTATTATGATCTTATGCATTTTCAATAATGCTGCTTATATTTTAAATAAAAACATTTTTTATGTATATTTGATAACTACAAAAATGAATCATTAAGTATCCACCAGTGGCTTAAGTCTGTAACAGGAAAAGTCGCACTATACATTCGTATAGTCTAAATGGTCAGGAGAAAGTTAGACTGTGTGTAAGTTGGAAGCAGCTCTGCGTAATACTTATTTAAAGCAAATTCAATATTTTATGTAAAACAATTAAATTAAGCAGTTTATATTTTTAAGTAAAACATACATTTACTAAAAAAATAACAATAAAATGTTTCTTGGAAGTTTTGATTAATGGAAGCTATTTTCGGAAGTTTACAATCTTTTTTTCCAAAACTTTAAATATTTTTTTGAATAAAACTATAATCATTTAAGTTTCTTAGAAGTTTTGATAAAAAGGGAAGTAGGTTTTTGGAAGTTTACAATTTTTCATGGAAGATTTGTTGGTTAATTTCCATTAAAACTCTGTGTAATTTGTATTAAAGGCTTTATAAAAAATAAATTAATTTTTCCAAAATTTGTGTTTAAAAAATACCTTTTTAAATAAAATGTTTTCAAGTAACATTTAATCAAATTTTATCAAAACATTTTTTTAAAATAATATTTTTACGAAATAGTACTTTTAAAATATTTTTTTTATGTCAAAGTAAAGTATTTTGAAAAAGATTTTAACATTGAAATAAAAAATATAAATCCTATTCGATATACAATATTTTTCTAACTAATTTTTTTCAAAGCAAAACCTTTTTTAAAATAACTTTCTGCAAAATAAAATCTCTTTCAAAATCAAATATGTTTTAAAATAGTTTTTTTCTCAAAATTATCTGTTTCGGTGGAAAATAAAAAAATTTTGCTTAAAAATATATTTGTCTGCATATTTATCGCATCTGGCAGCCACCACCAGCTGTCATCTAATTTGACATACAGATGGCGCTGAAACATAACGGAAGCGGGGAAAATGGCAGAATTTCATTTGCTTTTCGTATTTCGTTGACGAATTATACTAATTAGTAATTTTAAGTGCTATATTTTTAAATTTTCGGTAATATCTAAATTTGGTTGATTTTTCACTAATTCTCAATAATATTTTTAACAAAAAGTGTAAACGCTCAATTTTGTTGTGTTATGCAAATTTTCGCTCAAGGCGGAAGAAGCTGCGTCCAAACACAGCAGTGACACTACGTTCAACACCAACGGCAGGAAGCGCGAACTATCGAATATGACAACAACAACAACAGCAACGGTGGTTCCTGCTTAGCAATTTCGCATAATTGTTCTTTATGCTCCACCTTCTTATGCACCGTTGTTTTGCACGAAAATTTATTGATATTCAATTGAGTCGCTGTCCAATATTGTCGAAGATTTATTAGACGAACGCCGCCGCGTCCAATAGTCAGTGTAGCCGCGTGCTTCATCATACTGCTGGACAGTTGTACGCCACGGTGGCCATTGCAGCTATTCCTCTACGAGATCCCACACCATAAGTGAGGCGTCTGTGCCGCCCACTGTTACAACAGTCTGATCGCCATAGAGAAAACGTGCACATGCCAACATACCGGAATAGACTTTCGCTTCGTGAAATTCGGCGCGTGGACTAATACACGGATATCTGTGGGAAATTAGTAAAATATTGAAAAATTTGAAAAAAAATGAGCATATAATGACTACATGCCTGAAAATGCGCAGATAGCCATCGGCATCACCGGACACCAGCATATCCTGCGCCGCCGAACGACTGCAGGTGGCAATAATTGTGTTGTTGTTGCTGTAGTAACGGTTACTCCACATGCCTGCCACCAAAAAGCCCACTGTGCAGTTGCTAGTCAACCATTTGACATCCTTCATAGCAATGGGACTGCGCTCGGGTGAGAGTGACTTAGCATCCCAGAAGAGTAAATCGAAGTCAATGGTGACTGTTTGCACGAAGTTGCCATCCATGCTCCAGTCTAGATGTGTGAGCGGCTGTGAGCCGCGTATTTTATTCACCTTTTTGTAAGAGAAACCATCGCGCGATACGCGAAACAAGTATATGCTGCCATTCTGCGAACCCATTGCGATCATATCGCCAACTAAATAATAAAATCATAATAAAAAATAATATTCTTCATCCAATAGTATACTCACCTTGATTGAACGCTACACAGTTCAGCGGTGAGCCGCAGACACGCAACGTCAGCATAACCGAACCATTTTCACAATTGATGACAAGCAGATGACCCTCAGTGCTGCCAGCAGCCAGTGCAGTGCCAAATGGATGAAAAGCTAGTGAAACACACTCGTAACCAGTTTGTATAGTCCAAATTAATTTGTTTTTGCGCCACAGTGCGATATGTTTATCATGGCCGGCAGTGGCAAACACCTCATCTTCAGGATGTGCAGCCAAACCCCACAATTGACGACCATGGCCGAAAACGACTTGTGTAAAGCGACGCTGTAGTGAACCCTCTAAAATGTTATTGCGGGTGGTGCCAACATAAATGTTGCCATCATTGCGTCCGGGACGTTGTGGATAAATAGTGCGTACGCCGCCAGCGGCCTCAGGAAGCTAAGAGAAGAAAGTTCAAAATGGTAATTCATAATCTTTCTTCTTAATGATGCTCACTTTTGTGTCTGCGATCTTTTTGTAATTTTGTAAGGAGTCCCAGGCGGCAATTTTACGATCCTTTTCACCGCCCGACAACAGCGTACCCTCGCCCAACATAATCAGACAACCAATACCCTTGTTGTGTGCCTCGAATTCGGTGCGTACAAAGTAGGCGCCATCCGAGTCTACCGAATAAATAGTTATGAAACCATCGGAATCGGCAGTGATCACGTCGCCATCAGGTTCGAATTGCACGCTGGTGACATGTGAACGCGACGGCTGCTTAACAATATCGGTGCGTTCGAAAAAGCCATCTTTGCGACGATGCCAAAAAGCCAGATGACCACGTCCATGTGTAATAATGAGATTATCATCCAGCGGATGAAAGGCGGCGCCTGAGAGGCCTTCCTGCAGCGTCTACAAAAAATGAAATATACTTAAAGCGCTGTTGTTATATATGTATAATGTAGGTACACCTACTGCAACTTTTCCGAGCAGATGACCCCATTGCCATTGCCAAACCGAAAGTATGCTCTCGCGCCCGCTATCCACAGCCAATATATAGCTGCCACCATTCTGCAAGTGATTAAATGTTGCGTGTTGGCGTTATAGAAATATGTAGATGCAATAAATTTACCAGTTGTGAAAAGGCCACCGCTGTGACGCCGCTATCCAACTCGCCCATGCCGAAAACATAAAGTGTCTGTAGTGATTCGGTGCTCCAAATGCGCACATGCGCTTGTGATTTACGATCGCGTCCCGCTTTCTGTCCCGAAGCCACAAGCTCACGTGATGGATGTACGTCCATGCTGTTGACAAAGTGTATTAAAAAGTATAAATTATATTCGAAAGCACACTTCACTACTACAACAATATACTAACCACATAATATCCTCCGTGTGTCCAGTATAGTGTCGCTGTGCATCTTCCTCACGATCTAGCAGTACAGCAACAGCAGCTACGTAATACAAAAGCTCACCCGATGGTAAAACCCAGAGATTACGACGTGCATCAATACCACGATAGCCGTGACTACAGATGAAAGAGGAAAAGTAAGAAGAAAATCAAGTTTAACTTGGCATGAAAGCAGACAGCAAACGCATTCCCAACTTACACCCATTGTAGTTGCAATTTTTTATCGGGCGGTGTATTATCCGCGGGTGCATGATGTAATGGTGGATAGAAGGTACGCCGCAAGCCACGTATAGTCACTTTGGTGGGTTCCTCCTTCATAATGTCCAACATGCTGTATTCACCGTTCGCACGTAAAATCTCACTCTCCGGCGCATAGAGAATGCGTGGACGACTTTTACTGCGTGGACGTGCACCGCGTAAAGGAACCTTAGGCAGTTCTTCTGTGGGTAGTATAGGCGCTGCGGCAACAACGGAGGGACGCGAACGTGAACGCCTAATAGGCGAACCGGCAATTAAGGCAGTGCCAGTTGCTAGATAAAATGTGTCAACATCGGCAAACTCGTTGCGTAGTTGTGAAAAGCTGCGTACCTGTGAAGCAGCGCAGACAAATCATAATGTGTTTAGGGGTGTGAGGATACAGACGTCGTATAATTGCAAAATAAATGAAATAAAAAGAAAAAATTGTTAAATCGTCGACGTAGCAAATCAGCTATTATGCGGTCATTGTGTTATGGTCAACTCCACTTACCTCTTGTCCTGTGCCCGTATACATTTTCTTAGCGCCATTTATTTTCAACACTTGACCCAAATCTTCTAAGACCTCTTCGAATGGCTGCGATGTGCGCAAATTCAACAGCACGCGACACTACAAAATAAATTGGGAATAATAACATTAAGAGTAATGGCATATTTTGATTGCAACAAATAGTAATTGTTTTTTTTTATTTTTGTTTACGAGACCCATTCGCATTTCAGCATAAGTTATTCCTAACGTAGGTCACCTTTTTACTTTTGTATAAGGCTGGCGACATTGCCATAAATCACATGCT